GAAACGCAATTCATCATTGTTATCATTAGCTCATTGCTAGTCATTATTGTAGTTTTAATCACTCTAGTGAGTAAGTACTCATATTTACCCTCATTTAACACAGTTTTAGCTAAAGACTTAAAGTAGTACAGGTATTTTAAACCTTTCTGAAATAGCGATTTTGTAGTATTTTAGTTGTAGAACCCTTCCCATCGTCTCCCATCCAACCATTGGCGATCGGTGTTCTGTTTACTGCCGAAGCAGGTTTTATTTTCAATATCTGATGATTTTATTAATCTTCTTAAGTCTTTTGACTGTTGTCAGTCTAAGCTTTTTTATGGACTAACAGTGAGTACTACAAAAAATTTGACAATCTTAGTCTCTAACATTCAACATGATCGATTAGTCTAAAATTGTTTAAAGGAGCATTTATTGACAACCCCTATAATGTCAGGTTCTCCACTGCTGCAGTGATTCCAGGCTACTTCATGGATGAAACCTTATAAAATAAATTCTCTAGTAGCAAATATTGTCTGCATAATGACCAGCGGTCGAAAAAAATATTGGCAAAATGGCGTTTTAAAAAAAAAACACATTTCATTTAAAATTTTGGTCGTTTTTTGCGCGCCAAATTTTCGAACAGATCAAAAAACTGATACTTTCTTGGAAAACTTTCTAAATAACAAGTAGAAAAAGTTAATAGTAGTCGTATCATTTGCCAAAGCACATTCTAAAAATATAGTTTTAAGAAAAACGGGTTTAACTGTAAGCTAATGGATCTGATTAAACTGAGCGAATACATTTTAGAAGTCTGCAACTATCTATTTGAGATATCTTTTTAATGTGGTATGTTATAAATGTTACACTAGATGCTCCTTGAGCTATCCTGATACCCACTTAGATGTTATAAATATTCACAAACCTAAATATAGATCTTTATCTCTTTATCTGTGAGTGTGTTCTTAGAAAATATCGATACAAAACATCTCCTACTTATCGACCAGGAACTCGTTATTTTCACACTCAACTTAAATCATTTCTCAGGTATAAACGAGAAATATAAACGAGACTGACCCAATAAAACAAAAACGGTTAATTATTATTCAATATTTATTTTATCGCCTTCAAAATAGTCACCATTAGAGGCGATACACATATGCCACCTTTTTTTCCAATCTTCATAACACTTCTGGTAGGCCGCTTTAGGTATGGCTTTCAGTTCCTTCTTCGAATTCTCTTTTATGACTTCAATCGACTGAAAATGCTTTCCACGAAGCGGCAATTTGAGTTTAGGGAAAAGAAAAAAGTCACACGGTGCCATGTCGATTGAATACGGTGCTTGCGGAACAATATTTACGTTGTTTTTGGTCAAATAATCGCGTACAAGATGAGACGTATGAGCTGGCGCATTATCATGATGTAGAAACCATGACTTGTTGTCCCACAAATCCTTCCTTTTGAGACGAATATTCTCACGCAAACGCTTCAAAATGTATAAATAATATTCAGCATTAACGGATTGACCTTCTGGAAGGAATTCCGAGTGCACAACACCTTGGCTATCAAAGAAAACAGTGAGCATAACTTTGATTTTCGATCGACTTTGACGTGGTTTTTTGGGTTTCGGCTCATTTGGAAGGCGCCATTCAGATGATTGCTGGGCTGTTTCAACGTCGTATTCATAGACCCAAGTCTCGTCACCAGTTATGATGTGCTGTATGTCCGTATCACTCATTGTGAGCATTTCCTTGCCGACAGTTTTGCGTTCCTCTTTTTGAAGAAAATTCAACAATTTTGGAACAAGTCGAGCAGACACACGTCTCATGCCCAAAACATCGTGAATAATGCTATGAGCGGATCCATTTGATATGTTAAGCTCACTAGCTATCTCTCTTTCAGTCACACGACGATTTTCCAACACAATTCTCTTTACTTTTTCGACGTTTTCTTCGTTTATTGACGTTGCTGGACGACGATCATGGGGCAAGTTCTCCAGCGATGTACGGCCGTCCTTGAACGACTTATACCAATCAAAAATACGTACACGTGATAGGCAAGCCTCACCATATATTTTCATTGCGTCCGTCGCACTTATTCCATTGGAATAACAAAATTTCAAACAAACACTTTTTGCTCAACGTTAATTTCCATAGTAAAATTCGAAAAACACACTCGAGGTTGACTTGTTTATAGTGCCGTAAAAAAAAAACTATGTGACAGATCGCGCTCAAATTTGACACGTAAACATATAACAGTCCTGCCAACCTAAGCAAAAAAAAGTATGGCCATATGTCATGTCCTTGTCGAGTTATGGATAAAGTCTCGTTTATATTTGAGCAGAATATGTATCTCAAGTGGTTTTCAGTGGGCGTTTTGAAAATAAGTATAAATTTAAAAATAACCTGCGATAGAAAATTCGTTTTTTTGGTTTACTCTTAGAAATTAATTTAAAAATATTAGGAAAGTGTGCGCCTTGCCAAAACCAATATTTGATAAGTAATTTAAATGCTTTTGAAATCGATATTGTTGAGTTGGCTTAACCAAATTTTGCTTTTGTTTTTGAAATTATATTTATAAGTGTTTAATCATGATAAAATGCAAAAACCTTATAAATAATTTTAAAAAAAGTATAGAGTACCCGAGAAACTACTAATCATGAAAATTTAGTAGGTATCTCTTTACCGGTAGTTTCGCAGGCACTCTGTGTATTAAGGTAGAGTTTCGAAAGGAAGAAAGATAAAACGATATTGGCACTGGTTACAAATGTCTGTACATCGCCAGAAAGTTTTTCTGGAAAGTTACCGAGAGATAAAAACTATTAGATTGTAGCGGTGTATACCGTCTGCTTAAAATTAAGGTATTATATTCGGTATTAATAGTCGGAGAGTTGGTCGAGGTATCGGAGCAGCTCTTCCTTATTCGGAGGAATACGCAATAAAGTCATCCGTAATTACCACGCTTGTATTACATAAGGTAGTAGAGTGAGCGGTAAGCACAATACACCAAAGGTCATATTGCATAGCATCCTGTGCCATTTAATCCAATCTAGTTAGCTTCCTTGATTGTTTCTAGTCGTGGCTCCAACAATTATAAAAATATTTCACAGACCGACTTTGATATAGAGGAGTAAAAGCAGTAAACCAAAAGGATTTTTCGCAATATATCATAAATCCTTTAACTATTTATTTATGACACCTTTATTTTCATTACACATCCAACACAAACCCATAACTCTTATTAACATTTTCCAACAATTTCACGAAACCTTGAATTAAAGTATTGTTTTCTATAACTCAATTTTTTTTGCAATTACAGCTTTAAAAATTAATAATAAACATAATAAAAGGATTTTATTTTTTCACTGCCGCTTAAATACAACACACCCCTTGAGCCTTATGAAAGTATTAACAAACGCAATTTCATCTCAAACCCTTTAGATATTCATATTAAATAGCTGAGGCTTACAATTCATTCAATATGACCTGCCTCCCTAGCCCCCACAACACAACAGCACTGCCTTAGTAAATGAGCGCGCACCTGAGTCATTGCGTTGGGTAAAATGCTTGCAACCTATAAAAATGAGTGATGCGCATAAAATGGCGTTAAATACAAATATTGATATGATCGACGCTTATTTGTGTACAGCAAAAGCTGGCGGTTGTATACGTGTATGTGTGTGCGTGAAGGTAAATGGCACACTTGCTACGCGCTCATACTGAGGTGCTTAGAGGCGAAGGCGCAACTTCAGCGCCGGGCAGAACTGCTGTGTTCGTTATGTGGTTTATTAATAATTCATTAGGCGCTGAAGCCTTCAAAATCAGCGAGGCAAGCGCGATGTCAATGTCGGTAGGTCGACGGGTCGATGGTACATATGTGTGTGTGAGAGTATAAGAGAGATAAAATGTGTGTTAAAAAGCGGCATATGTATGCACTATTTTATTGGTGTTGTTCTTGTTGTAGTCGTAGGTAGATTCATGCGGCGGTGTGGTGAGCAAATCAACCACAGTTACAAGCGGCGTAAAACAAGCCAAACAAGCTTTCAACTTGGTAAACGGATCATGGGATGGATGGAGTGATGCATAGCTGACGAGATTCGACTACCTTTGTACGCACAACCATACATACGCGTACACCTTTGTACATACTCTTTGTGTGCACGCCAACATGCCAACGCAAATGTGTGTGTGTGTATGTGAATGTGCATATAAATGAGTTGCCAAGAGCATGTGCGGATTTATGGCAACTCATTTTGAATCATGACGCTTGGCTGTTATGTGCTATACTGCCCCACACTACCTCATCCATGACTACCACAATCAGCAGTCAGCGCTCTAAGTGCTTCGCTTGGCTGTTGGTGTGCGCATATATGCAGATTTCAGCACATCGGCAGTACGTGTACCCGAGTGCGTGTGATTTTTTCATGTGAATGTCCGCGGTTGATGAAAATTTTTATTGCTGGAAAAAATGTATGACTTTCTTTGGCGTTCGAGCACGCCGCTCGTCACTCGCCGTGCCCCTGCAATTTGAGCATAAATTTATTTGTGTTATATTTTGGTCGAAGCGGCGTGTTTGGGATGATTTGATTTAAGCAAGTGGAAAATTGAATTTGAAAATTAGGTTACAGCGCAAATTACGCACATCGGCAGCGGGCGCGGGAGCAGGGATGCATGCGCGATTGTGGCTATTCTAACGCTGAAATGTAGGGTCAAGTGCGTGTGTTTTTGTTGCATTATGAATGAATGTGCGTGTGCGTGCGTGTGTGTGCGGTAAGTTAAGTGATCACAATAACACATTTCAAAAGCATCGATTCGCATTAGTGTTAGGCGGATTAGTTAGTATGTGCGAGTTACAGCTGTGTTGTTTTTATGTTGCCATCAATTTGTGGAAGTCCATTTTTATTTGTTGTGATACTGAGCACGCAATTAAACTATCATTTTGCATAACATTATAATTAAATCGAGCTCACTTATTAATTATGTAATAATATGAGAAATAACACATTTACGATTTTCTGCTTCCAGGGCCATGCGGGCGTACATGGCGGTACTGGGCAAAAGGGTGAACCAGGCCAACCCGGTGTGCCGGGTATGGCTGGAGCACCCGGCGCACCTGGTCTCAAAGGTGATCGTGGTCTGCCCGGTGAATTGGGCCCCATCGGACCACCCGGTCCACCAGGTGAAGTTATTTATGCAGACAATTCGTTGAATGGCACATCGAGCAGCGCAGCGGGTGGACAATGTCAATGTCCAGCGGGTCCACCTGGACCGCCGGGTACACGCGGGCCGCAGGGCTATGAGGGGCCACCCGGTTTGAACGGCGAGCCTGGTCCAGCTGGGTCGAACGGTTTGACCGGCCTGCCTGGCTCCAAAGGTGAGAAGGGCGAAAAAGGTGTGCGGGGCCTGAGCGGCCCGAAAGGCGATCGCGGACCCGAAGGCCCGCCAGGGCAGGCCTTTTTCGCTGGCGGCTACGAAGGCATGGCTATGAACGGCACCAAGGGGGAGAAAGGAGAGAAGGGTATGCGTGGACGACGCGGCAAACCGGGCCAAGCTGGACCGATCGGACCGCCGGGCAAACCTGGTCCAATGGGCGATATTGGACATTCGGTAAGTTAGAATTAAAGCTTTCATATTAAAGTAGCATTGCTCTTCGCTTTTTACCCTAGAAACCTCAACAATAAACACCAAGCTGCGAATTAAAAGCAAACAAAGCGCAAAAATGTTGCTCATCCGCCCTGTAGCACGTGGCAAATTTGCATTCAAACAACCGATAGGGTGCATAATATTACTTCGCCTTTCATATTTAGCTAAAGTGCTTTGAATATACTCAAAGTAGTGCAGTGTGTTCTCAGTTTCGCTGCCACATTAAGTCGGAACTTGTAAAACGGTTTATTCACTTTGTTGACACGTTTCAAATGTTGGCGATAAATTCGGCGACGTAAATGGGTCGTAAGCACTCACCTGAATCCAAATTAAAGCAAATGATTTTCTAGTGATTTAATTTTTGATTAACTTAAGGATAATTATAATGATGTTAAATACTTAAAATAAATTTATAAAAATTTCTTGATTTCAGGGTCGACCCGGGCTACCCGGCCCCAAAGGTGATTCAGGTATCAAAGGACAGAAGGGCGAAACTGGCGGACGTGAAGGAGTAAGTTTATTGAATTATAAGAAAATATAATTAGTAGAGCTGGATCGTAGAGCGTAATATCTCATATTCAAAAAACAAATAATTCTAATATAACAACAGATGATGATCGACGTAAAAATACTAATTTTCTACAAAATGAAAAAGAATGAGTTCGAAAAAAATTTGCTTTTTATTAAAAAAATTAAGTTTCAGAACATCTTAAAAATCAAAATTATTATCAAAAAACTAATTCGTTCATTTATTATACCACTAATATATCTAAGAAATACATGTGAAAGTTTCAAGCTGATCGGTGCAGCTATTTGCCGAATCAACTTAAGATTTTCGGAGACTCATTTGAAATATATGTACATTCGATATACATACGAGTATACGCAAATAAGAAAATCGATTTTTCGACATAACTCCTTAGGAACCATTTTTGACGTCCACAAAAACTCTTTTGCAGAAAACTTCTGATATTTTCCTCTAATGATTTTAGAGAAGCTATTAACAACTTAACTCTTACTATAATACTTTTTTCAAACATACAAAGAAGCATACCTGCCAACAAAAGCAACAAAATCACCATTTTCCAAGCCAATGCAATCATCAACTACTTTGTGACTTAATTTATGCAATTAGGGTTAGCACTTAAAGCAGAAAAGTATGCATACAATAAAAGCAAAAACAAAGGAAAATTCTCACCATCCATTTATGTGAGTGAAACTTTAGCCGTAAACAAAATTTTGCAATATAAACAACCGCGCTGTAGTAGAAAGAGGCTACAAAGCTTCAAAAATGACGAAGAGCCAGCAAAGGAGCGCCAACAGCCACACAACCATAAGCAAAATAACCAAGAGTGTGCGATGGAAGCAAACTTAAGAAATGACTTTGGCGCTAATGTTGACCCCAATGAATGCAGCCAAACCCATTGCGCTTACATACTTACAGTGAATGCCTAAAATACTGCGGATATCAGTCCGCCCCACTCTGAGCAAACCAACGAGTGCACGGGTACATTTTTTTTTTTTGGTAGCAAATAAAATGTTGCAGGCGGGCAGCTGGCAGCTGCGACAGCTCTGCGGTGCATGAGTTTGGTGACATCAGCGCACATTTTCGAAAGTTGCAGGTTCACTCCCTATTTTTACAGCACTAAGGAGTTTATTGCAACCAAACGAGTATATAAGTGTGGCGAATAGTAATGAGAATTATTCAACGAAATTCGGCCCATATATATAGACTACTGTTAGCATCACACGAGCTAATTTCACCGCTAATACAAGGGGTGTCGCCTCAAAGCACAACGGTGCAGAATTCATTGACCGACAAAGCGTTGAGCGGCACTTAAGCCCAAATGAAAATAAAAAAATTGGCTCTTTGAAATAAAATTCCCCCAACGCAATAATATAATTTATATATAATAAACCTCATAGACAGACAGAGAGACAAAATTATTCACCTAATTTTCGTATATTCGGATATTCGTATGGAAATAAGTACGTCAAAAGTCTGTATGTGTCAAGTTATTTGTGGTGTATAATAATACTTAAATAGCCATAGGAAAATGATACTAACGTAGTGCACAGCTCACTTTTGTGGATTTGATTATTAAAGTTTTGAAAATAATACTCTTCTTTATGATTTGAAGATCTTAAAGAACAAATTTCAATAGAAATTTACGCCACATTATTTAAAGAAAAATAAAGAAATAGAATAAAAGGATGAAAATTCTCGTTTGTTAGAGCGCAACCCCAATACTTGTCAGGGAGCTTAGGACCTGTTCATAACCAAATATTATATACTAATATATTATAGACCAATAGATGTTTGTACGATTTTTACAGCGTTTAAAATAATTACATTGTTTAATAAAATTAATTTTCAGAAAAGAGCACGCTGATGTCTAGCACCATTTATTGAGCAAATTGTTGATTGATTCCTCTTCAAATTACTACTAGAGTAGATCAGTTACGGTTACGAGGCTGATCCTCCTTACCAAATTCATTTTGACAAGTTAAAGCCCGTTCAAATGCAATTTTTACTTTTCGCCTTAGGGCATTTTCGATGGTCTTTACACTGGTCGCTTAAAACTTCCCAATCTATGGATAAGTACACTTAGTAGTCGAAGGGAACTGCTTGACATAAAAAAGAAAATCCTGAATGGAACAGTTTTAAATTTCTTTTCTTTTGACTGAAGTTAAATGTATCATCCCGTCTCACTTATCGAAGCAGCTTAGAACCTTACGGCTAAAATTGTAGATAAAAATTTTAACCAAACTAAACTTTTTGCCGCATTGTCCGCATGTCATGGTTTTGATTCTAATTTCTGCAGATTTGCCTTATTTGACTCACTTTTTAACATAAGAAGGTTGTACTGATTTCTAATAGAAAAAAAATCGTAGAAATTTATTATAGCGTAAATTTAAATAGCTGAGCAGTTTAAGATATCGAAGCTTAAAGACCCACTTGCCTTTCATGACTCGGCTATTAATGGATTGTGCCTCTCACTTCGGTTGGGCGGGACGAGGGTAATCGGTATAATTAAAATTTCAGGAGAGATTCCTTTAGGACAGCTGGTGCGTTCAAGCCCATTTGCTAGATAGACTAAAATACCTTAATGTTTGGACGAAGCATTTTTGAGGGCATTACAAAGTTTTTAAGATGGCTAATTGCAATTCCAAAAATTCACCGAAAGTATATTGAAATTGTTTCAACCTCAGTCTGGTTTCAACCTCTTCATGAAACTTTGGCTACTTGCGTTCGGCAAAATGTTTAGCATCATCGCCTGTACCTAAGCCAACTGAACAGTGTCTAGCTAGAACTCCCAAAACAAACTATTTCAAAAGTATTTTCCATTCCCCTCTGAGCCAGAATGTTTGCACGGCCGCACAAGTGCTTATTATTGACCAGCACCTAACAAACTCACGTGAAAACCATATTTGAGAGTTTTTGAGCTTTCATGCCTTAAGTTCTTCAATATTGGTCTGTAAAAATTGTAATAACCAAATCTACTTCTAATGATATTTTGTATACAATACTTACTATAATTATCACAAAAGATTATTACGTTTACACATTCGCGCCAACGAATAATCTACACAATACGAGTACAGAATCATCGTTAAAATTTAACCCATGCAGCAGAGAACCACAAACGAAAAGGCGATTTCGGACGCAGTATGCAACGCAGACAAATTCGGCAGGGCTTTTGCTCACCAGCCCCTGTTCGCTGCCTTTATCTCACCGCATGTCTGCGCGCTTTGCGCTTTTAACTATACCGACCCATTTAGAGCTACCTCCATCTACACTCCTCCTTTCATAGCAGGGAGCTGGTGATGGCAGTGAGCGGCAAGCGAGAACATCATATTAATTAGAGCAACTAAAGTAGTTTTCCACTTTGCGCCTCAACCCTTCAACGCGACTAAGCCACGACCGCACCTTTCGCCATGCGCCAAATACAAAACTCTCCCCGCTACAGCCGTTTCACAGAAGACGCTCGTGACGCATTTCACTGCTTTGTGTGACGTTTGTGCATTTAAATATCTGAGTCTCAGTGACAAAATTGCTTCATTGTGCGCTTTTGTTCGACAACGCTGAGAGCGAGCGCGGCGTTCAAAAGGGGGGAATGCCGTAATAAACTTGTTGGTCTTGTGTTTGTTATTGTTGCATTTGCTTATAAACTATTAAACTATTCAACTCTTTTTAAGTCTTCTACTTCTTTTCCCTGCCTCAGTTTCTAGCGTTCTTAGTCTGCAGCGTTTGATGTCCTAGCAATTTTGACTTTTGCCGCTGCTTTTGATCTTATTTTTGCTTTTGGTTTTACTTTTACTTTTGTTTTTGTTCTCGCCTTTGTTGATCTGCACAAAACAGTGCATTTTAGAGATAGCATTCGCCAGGTATTCCGACTTTAGCTTAGTTACTTTTGTCTTATGTGTATTTAACAGCAGGTTGCTAAGTTTATTATTCATCAACTTAATGTTTGTATAAACTTGATTTAAGTGCTTAAAAGCAGGTCAGCGACCAAACTAAATGGTGCGCTGCTGTAATTGCATGTAGATATGTATGAGTCCACTTCTACGTGCATACTTGTCAATAAGAAACTTTCCATATTCTACTTTAAAGGGCTATAAACAAGGGGTGTGCTTTGTTGGTATACCAGCTTTACGTGTAGATTTTCCCTACCTGGATGACAGAATTAAAATCTGAGAGTATTTTTGCTTTTACAGCATCTCTTGATGGAGGTGTTAGGAAATATTATTATATGAAAATAGTTATATTAAAATTTAATTATGATTGTCTTCAAGCTACCTCATCAGCAAAAACGACAAATTAAGTTTCAATAAATGAAAAAGATCGCTAGGTGTTATTAAATATAATTCCTTTGATGTTATGTGTTTACAAGTTGTGCCAGGAAATACTTCTGCATTCTGTCTCTACTGTTCACTGTGTGGTAATTCCTTAAAAATTTTGAGTTTCCCTTTTAATGAATTTTCGTCAATAGTAGTCCAAAAACTTCAAATAAAGTGTTAAGGGAGTTTGCCCGACTTTTAACTTTACGATTCTAGGACAGGATAGAAAATGTATGCCTAATAAGAGAGAGATGGAGATAAGGGATCCTTATGACGTATTCGAGTTAAAAAGTAGCAAAAGGATAAGAAGATCTGGTTTAACATTGTTGAAAATTCAAAATTTTTTATCAATATATAAGCAAGTTGAGAATTAATTCCTCAATACTTTTGATCGAAAATTACAAAATATTGATAAAACCACACGTCATAGCAGCAATGACTTCGAGATTTAAAAACAAAAATCCAAATAGTAATTGTTGAATTGCATATCATTAAGCACAAGAAAAAACGTTAACTTCGGCTGCACCAAAGCTATAATACCCTTCATAAACCCTTTATTTTAGATAATAGACAGCTATATGCTATATTTGTATAATCTGAACAGTTTCCTTGGAAATTGTAACGCTTCCTTGAAAAGTAATCTCTGCCAAATTTTGCGAAGATACCTTGTCAATTAAAAAAGTTTTCCATACAAGGACTTGAGTTTGATCGGTCAGTTTGTATGGCAGCTATATGCTATAGTGGTACGATATCGGCGGTTCCGATAAATGAGCAGTTTCTTTTAGAGAAAACGACGTGTGCAAAATTTCAAGTTGATATCTCAAAAACTGAGGGACTATTGCAGGTATATAAAGACGGACAAACGGACTTGGCTAAATCGACTCATTTCATCACGCTTTATATATATACTTTGTTGGATATCCGACGTTTCCTTTGGGGTATTGCAAACATCGTGCCCCACTTAATATACCCTCTTCAGGGTATAATTACAATATATTGGTATGGCTTTAGCTCGATACTGTTTTGTAGTTATACAGCCAGGTGTTTTACGAATTATTTTCATTTCCTCAAGCATATACCTTGTGATACGAAGTTAGTGGAACCTAATAAAGCTCTGTAGCTTGACTCAGTCGAGGTACTCATTCATATTGCAGAAAACTTTTACTAACCTTCTGATCAAATATCACATGCACTGACAAAGAAAAACTACATTTTCACGTACTTTAATATAAATTTTTATATATATTATATCGCCTTCAAAACAGGCTCCTGAGCCAATCTACATAATTTCCCATACACTTGTTATAAACCTCTACTAGGCCTTAAGTGCCTTCGGTGAATTTCGGTTTTCTCGGTTTCGGCTAATTTTTGGAGCGCTATTCGCTAGACTGTAAGGCAGTATCGACGTCATATTCATAAACGTTTGATGAATGTAGGGTCTTCAGCTACCTTGTCAAGCTAAATATTTACATTTTCTCGAGAATTCACTTTGAGCTATGAAGTGAAGAGGCCCCAAAAGAGTTCTGAAGCTAGGTCCAACCGAAGCTAAATGAGAGAAAAATTGCTGCCATATTTACTAGATAATTTGCTTTTTCAAGAAAACTAGGTTTATTGGCTCCAAAATGTAGTCAAAGTCATTCGCTCCAACTGTGATGAAAGCACTAATACTTTCATATAAAGCTTTTAAAACATTTAAGTGCAAATATAAATTTTATATAATTGAACTATATTTTCCGCTATAGCAAGCTTTTAACATAATTTTTCGTTCATTTTGCTCTTGACTTTATGAAGATGTATCTACCTTTAATGCTCTCAGCAAATAAATATTGGCAAAAGTAATGTGTGAAAATATTTGACCAATAGAAATTGCATTTAAAATGCAACAAATCTACAAAATAAATACTAACAGCATTAAGAATGAATAAAGTAGATGAGCCTGCTAACTAAAACAGAACTAATAAAAACAAAAACAACAATTAAATATTCAAATAATATTAGGTTAACTTACTTTGCAATTTATTTCAAATTTTCCAACACTTAAATTCGAAATTCGGGCGAAATTCACAATAACTTCGCAGCTCACAAGCGTGAGTGTACGTGTGTGTATGTGTTAGGGAAGGCAACACACAATACATATTGATTGCAATACACACACGCGCACTTTTTATTTTTGCAAACACTGAGAATTGTGCAACGCGCAAATGCACTTAAATCAAACTACAATTTCCCCACAGGCCGTAAATGCCCACAAGCCATAGGACCAGCACGACTCGTATACGCATATGCATTATGGCCCATGGACGCACTTAATAACTCAGCGCCAGGCAAAAAAAAAACGACAGCAAAACAATAAAAAACAAAAACAAAGCACAGCAATTGCAATGCTCAGGCAATAACAAAGCAAACGCTACAAAAATAACAAGAATGCGTCGCTAGGATACTGTACTCTAGTAGCGACAAGCGCTCGGCCAGCATGCGATGCCGAGCGGCGGCAGTAAAACGCACAACTTCATCAAAAAATAATAACCGCAACGAATCGCTTGGCAATTCACAGGCAATTCACAGCAAAGTTTCAAATTACTCAACAGCGGCAGCCATGTGCCGTTACAGTTGCCACACCATACATTGTAAGCGGCGAGAGGAGGGGGCCTGTAACTAGTTGTCGCTCTCATTCTATTGTTCGGTTATTTACTTAATGCTGCCCGAGCGCTCGCACAAATTGCAACATTGTGAATAGGATGTGTTTATGCTGTCAGTGATGGCAATGATGATGGAATTCTTGGTGATAATAGCTAGTGTTGTACACGTCCAGCAGACAGAGCATACAACAGGACACTTTAGGCCACAGTAGTGGCACTAACTTGGACCATTATTATTGTCAATTAGTTTGTAACAAACAATGTACATTTTATGTGCCGAGCTTTGAGGCGAAACGTAACTGTTTGGATGCGTGTGTGTGTGTGTGCAGCCCTACGTAGATGTTGTTCACTTAAAAGCTTATACGATTGTTGCTATGTATGTGTGTATGCATGTATGAATGCGTATACAACAGACTGCCGCCGAAACAGCGTCCTAGAGCAACTGCAAGCAGAAGCAAGAGGCTCCTATTATGATGTATGTGTGTATGTGTATAGGCGAAAACAATAAGCAAACAATGTAGCAATAAAGCTAGTGCAAACGACAGCTACATTGCGTCACTCCATAAAATAATCTTCATAAAAGTGCCATCATTATGCACAGACACACAAACACACAGATATGGCTGGTAGCTAGGCAGTTATACTTTAAGGCAAATAACACACACAACCACATACACAGTCGCGCGTCTAGACACAGGGATTGAGATAATATTAGAATAGTAGACAAGCGTGCTTAACATAGCGAATTCTGTTGAGACCCCATTTATGTGGCATAAAACTTGATATTATAGTCGTGCCTGCAACTAAGTGTGCACAATTTATTGCCTAATATGCACAATTAGTGTATAAAAGTGTATAAAAACTACATAAAAATATCTGAAGTTGAACAGAAGGGCAATCATATTTCATAATAATAGTTGTCCAATATAATTTTTTTTTAATTTATTACAAATGAATCCTCTAAAATCTTCTCTTCTCTTCAAACACAGTCCAAAGGCGATAAAGGTGATCGCGGTCAGGATGGACGTGACGGCCTGCCCGGACCACCTGGCTTGCCAGCAGCAGCCGGCGAAGGTGTACAATACATACCGATGCCTGGCCCGCCAGGACCGCCAGGCGCACCCGGTCAACCCGGCATGCCCGGTTTATCAATAACCGGCGCGAAAGGTGAGCCCGGCATGGATTCACGCAGTTTCTACGGTGATGCGTCTTACTATGGACGACCGGGTATGTTATGATTTTTCGCGTTTTTATTTTATTTTATATATTTTTTTATTTTATAAGAAGTATTTTTGAGAAATATTTGTGAGTTGAAACTTGGTAAAGTTAAAACTAAGTAAAGTAAAGCCGTAGTTATATTGAACTAGTTAATTATGTAAAATCCGCTGTATATATTATATTATATACTTATTTTTTGACTAGGCTTATTTTTATTCAATTACAATTTTTGAACATACTGCGTTAAATCCAATGCCATATTTGTTGTTTATTATTGTACCTAACCATGTATATATTACTTAACAACTTACTTCTACCTTTAATCCCATAACTTTGCAAAAATAATGCCTTTTGCCAATAACTAACGCTTGGCATAACAAAAATCCTGAACGCTTTATAGCCAGTGGACGCTCCTCTCTCGATGAAATCAAAGCTTTGCGTGAACTACAAGACTTGAGAGATCGTCCAGACAGCACATCTGGTAAAATATTATCTAATTTATGTCGTAATTTGTTCCAAACCGCAACTTTTTGCATAGTTTTTCTTTGCAAGTTTTTGTTTTTCACTTTTTGCATACAACTTTGAATGAATATTGAATTTACAAAATAGTTTAAAATTTTTTTTCTTTTTATTCAAATTTAATTTCAATAAATATTTCATATTTTCATAAATATCACATGATAAACTTGAAATTATAAGTAGCATGGAAACTTCTTTTTTATTAAAAAATAAAATAAAATAAAAAGCAATTAGTAAGTCTTCACAAAATAAATAAACCAAATATTATATAATATAGTGATTCTTATCGTTAGACATGGCGGATAAGTAATTTTTGGCACAAAGCTTTTGTAGGACAAGACAGTGATATTAATATATATTTATATGGCGATATTTTCAAAGCAATTGATATTTCTAAAACCAGGCGCTTTCATTGCAATATTATTCGTAATGGTGACAGTGATAAATAAAATTAAAGCAATTTCTAATGTTTTGATGAGTTTTTCGATGAATATATGCGTATCAATATTCTTGGATACTTGCTATAAAAATTTCTTGCAATTTTTGAAGGAAACAAGAAGAAGTAGCAAAGTTAACTTCGGCTGCATCGAAGCTGAAATACCCTTAAAAAATTCAAAAGATTTTTACAAGAACTTCATTTTCATCAATCAGTTTTTATGTTAACTATATGATATAGTGATCCGATGACATCAATTTCTTCGGCGTTTGGACCACTCACTTAAGTTATAGCCCATGCCAAATTTAATGAAAATATCTCGTCAAATGAAAAATGTTTCCATACCATCGCCTTATCCCGATCGTAAAGTTTGTATGGCAGCTATATATATATATATATATAGTAGTCCGATATCAGTGCTTCCTATAAATGAGCAGCTTCTTGGAGGGAGAATAACGTGTGTAAAGTTTTATGAAAAATCGATACCTCAAAAACTGGGGGACTACAGACAGAAATATAACTATTCTGAGACTGCCAAATCTGAAACGAATATTGTTCAAAAGTTAAGCTTAAGTGATAAATCTTTCCTTTATTTGTCTCTATTTAGTTTACAAAACATAAATTTTTTGTTCAAAAAAACACTTCGAAAAGTGTTTATAAAATTTTTTAAAGCTTAGCTTAAAATGCTGGAAGCAATTTTTGTGTAAAAATGAAATTTTGTAACCACAGTCATTCAGACTTTTTGCTGCAAATAATTAATCTCTGTAATTATAAATAATATGCATTTTATGTTATCATATTATACACTTTTTAACAAACCTACAATGAGAAGAAAAACCTCACATTAATATTGCCATCCATACCTTACTCTTTTCAAAAGTAATGCATGTGTATTAAGTTGATCCAGCCAATTACAATTTTAACAATAAATAAACATATCATGAAATTTAATTCATGCTTCCACCGATTATGTGCAGTTTAAGTTATGCCTCATTTAAATATTTTCTTTTTCGTATATGGTAAACATAACATATGTACATTAATATAGTATGTAAGTGAGAGATATTGTACACATACACATAATAGGTAGTATACCTATAACCCTTTAAAAATATCGTTATAAAAATACAGAGAGTGCATTTCCAGATTCAAATTTTAATGCTTTCAGTAAGCTGTGTGTCGCAAGGGCGATAGCTTCTTAACGGAAGGAGAAAAATAATTAAAAATACAAAATTTCCACAAATAACCTTCCTCCAACTTTAACCTTTACCTTACATAAATATAATTCATAATTTTTTTCCGAGCACATTTTTCTGAAGTTATCCATAAACTCCAAACCTTTTTGCGAAATTTAAATACTTGTGTGTTGTCAGATTTGTTCCTGTATAAGATAGATCAGCCATTAAAATTTATGAAAAGTCCATGATCTGAAACTGATGTCGTCATAGAAAAAAGCTATCAAGAAATAATTGGATTCACAAGGATTTTTACAAGGCAAACCATTAATTTTCAAATATGTTAATTTACCGAATCAAACCATTATTGTTCATATCAATCATTTGGCTTAACCATATATGGAAAATCTCAACACGATGTGGTTCATAATTGATTCATGTCTCGGAAAAATGCAACATAATCGCCGTTTGCACTTTTAAATAACCAAACAAAAACATTGCGCGCATAAGAGTATGCAAGATTTTCCACTGTGTTTAATTAAATAATCAGCCTATAATACAGCACAAATAAATTCCATTAGCATTTTATTATAACGTGCTGTATTTAAAAGATTACGATACGCCATTCATTCATTCCCAGACAATATTTCAATAAATTGGCTTGGCATTAAGCCTGATCGACTCGAATATTTAATTGTAGACAATATTAAAATTTAATTGGTTTTCAAAATACCCCGATTGAACTCTCCGAAACACATTTAATTCAATTATTTCACATTAAAACAAACAATGAAATTTGCATTAAGGTCATTGTGCAAGTGGCTGTAATACTATATGGAGAAACGGTTGTTGTACAAATATAAATATGAGTGTACAAGCAACTTATGCTATTATGTATTTAACAGTAAATATTAAAAATTTTCGTATACAATAACAAAATGAAATGCAATTGTTAAGTGAAATCTCCACAGCAATTATTTGTGCATTGAACTCTCAATGCTATTCTCAATGCGTGTATGACGTCACAGTTTCAGCAGAATATGTTTGTGCACAACAAACAAACAACAATAAAAAATGCGCACTGTTATCAACCAGGAGAAGAGTAAAGAGTAAAAGCGGAAACGAAATGTTTATAGGAAGAAGGGAAAATAGTTTCTCTCAGTTTTTTTTCTGCAGCATGCGCAAGGAAATGCACAAAGTTTATTGATGATTGTTCGCTTTGATTAAATTTCGCTTTTCTTATTGCCCAACAACATTAGCAACATCATTATCAGCATCATCAACCATAATAATGTGATGGTTGTTGCAGCGTCATCAGCATTGTATACACTCAGTCATCGTGAAGTCATTACATTAATGAGTAAATTACATTTGCCACATTCGCTTTCGCAGCGGAACTTCTTCACTGTCGGTTGCTTCAATGCCCACTCTCCCCGTCACCAATCTCTGACATGCCTTCAGCGTTGGTTTTTATGTCTATTCTCCCTTGTTTTCTTCCGCACTTTGTGTTCTTTCCACTTTTTGCTTAAAATATTAATGTTATTGTTGTTACACTTCCGCGCCGCTGCACGCTTACAATCACCACAACTACAACAACGAAGATCCACAGCCGATTGGCTGTAAAATAACTGTTGGTTTATGCTTTTGCCTTCCGTTGCTTCATTTGGAATCAAAGTTATGCATAAATTAAATGCGTTTTCAAAAGCAAAAATTATGCAACTCTGAGATGACAACAATTTTGTTAAGCAAAAATGTAAAAATATGAGAACAAATATTAAAATGCATAAGTATTAGTATATTAAAAATGAACTTTATATATTTATAGACTTAAATATTATATACATGATAATAGCGTGCATCAAAAAAACTTCCAAATTTTATTTCAACTCTTACCCTCACAAAAACTTCTATTTTATTTAAGAAAAAAAAAAGCTTGACCAATCTCCATGGCTCAACCCTAAGGCTCGCTATTTTTATTTAAAATTTTGGTGTAGTAATGAACATAGGGGAATAATTATTACTTAAAATAGGATTTGCACCTACTTAAGGCAATTTTTTACCAAATCATATTTTATATTTTTAAAGTTAAGTCGTCTAACTTAACTAAACTCTAAAGATTGTGATCATCTCAACAAAAATAATGATTACAATAATATAAAAATATCAAAATTTTTAATATGGAGCAAACCCGCGCTGCAGATTCAGGTTATGCCCTAACAAGATGGATCCAACGTAACCAAGCCTTTTATTTTCAGTTTAAACCGTGCCTAAATCACTTTACTTTTCCCATATATTTTATATGAAATTTTTTGATGCTTTACAACAAGTACAATCCAATACAAAATTTTCCACTCTACAAAAAAGGTCTTAATAAATTTTTTCATTGAAAAATTGCTATAAAAGTTATTCGCAGTTAAAGTTTTGCATCAAATGCGCTGTAGTATTCATCTAGTACACCATGGCGTCTGGGCAACACTTATGCATACGAGTATATACTTTTTGGCACTAGTTATTGCTTTTATTGTATTTTCTTTTAGATAGTAATACTATAAGGTTACAAGTTGAAACTTCTTTTATAGCAATCAGTATTATACTTTTTGTTTACTTGCGTAGTTTTCTCTTGCTTATATCTCATTAGAGCACTTAAAGTGTTGCCACATTATTTATTATATTGTATATTATTCTTACTTCACAACATGTTTACATTGGAGAGCAAATTTTGTAATGATTTTTATTCGCTCGATTAATTATTAACTATTTTACATTCTCTTGTTATTTTTAAAATTTTTTGCAACTTGCCACTTTAAACTATTTGTTGTTCTAAATGAATTAACAGGCCCGCCCGGTCCTCCTGGTCCACCAGGCCCACCCAGCCATTCGCGTCATGACGATGAAGAGACACCATATTTTTCGGCATCTTCCTGGAATATGCGCATCGTACCAGGTGCGGTGACGTTTCCGAATATTGATGAAATGACAAAGGTGAGTGGTCTGATTAGGAAAAAAAACTGTAGGTTTGTGTATGATTTTCCTAAACAAATGCAAATGTTTAATACCGTTGTCTAAATTTTCTCAATTTCACAAAATTACGCAAGCAAAAATGTTTACTTTTATTTTTTACTCTTACGTCAAACATTTGTATACTTTTTCAAATACTCATTAAAACATATAATTTTAATCCTCAAGAGTAATCATCTATGGCAAATAAGAACTCATTCCACAAACGTTAAAAGCGCCAAGAAACCGTTCGTTTAACTTTTTGATAACATAAATTCTGAAAGCGCGCCGCATACTCACACACAGCTTTATTAGCTCGTAAAAAATCGTTCATTAGCGCTGAGTAATTAATTTTTTTTTAACAATTTATAGTAACTTTCGTGCGCCGAGCGTTTGTAATTAAAATGTGCCTATGATTACAATTTATTTCCATGCCTATTTGCGTGTTCGTCATTTTGTCTGTGCGACAGATGTGCTTTCCCATGTCGCAATTGCGAAAAAACCGCACACTATCATAAATACATATGTTGCACATGGCGCTTTGTTTGCAAAAGAATAAAATATTTTTTTCTTTTTCCTGTTTTTTGCTTTAGAAATCAGCCATGAATCCGCCAGGCACACTGGCCTACATCACGGAGGAGGAAGCGCTGCTGGTGCGCGTCAACAAGGGTTGGCAATATATTGCGGTAAGTGTGCGTGTCGACATGACATTGTTGCATTTCATATTTTCCCAATTTTTCGGCGCTTTTTTGCGTACCACATAAATGTCGGTAGCGCCGTGAAAAGTTGTCGTCGAAAAAACAAACAATATGTTGTACCAGAAAGTGTAGACAAAAACGGTAACGTGCAAATTTGTGCAAGTGTGTCAGCAGAGTAATGTGTGGCACAATTATACATTTATGCCACATCGGCGCCTATGATGCGACTTTTATATATATATATATATTTTTTTTTTTACGCCAGTTTTTTGAGTTATTATTTGTGTGGCACAGTTTTTGTTAATATCTTGCTTTTGTTGTTTGCTCAATCACAGTTATGGAGGAAACATCTGCTTCGATTATCATTATTATTCTATTTTTTTGCGCTGTCACTCATTAATGAAGTGGTGCATGCAAATGCAAATTAAAACTACTCAAATTTTTTATATATTTTTTAATATTTTTTTTTTATATTTTTTGTTTTTTGGCGAGCTAAGAGCATATATTAAATTATCAACCATTTGAAGTTGTCTCAAAATGTGCAGCGCTTTGCTCAGAAAATAATATATTTTTTACAACATGCGACTGCACTCGAGTTTAAGGTTTCATATTTTACCTAATTTTTCTTTTAAACGTTCTCTTTAAGGAGCTTTAGAAATCTCAGTTTATATTAGTATTGTCTCTAAATACTTAGAGCACCGCTCTGTCAGAAAATAATATATTTCTATCAACATGCATTATGAACTCGAGTTTAATGGTTAGTGTTTAACCCTTAAAGGGTCTTAATGAGAGTCGTTTAAAAAGCTTTGAGTGTGTTTGCCATCTGAAAATGTTTAGACCATTAGTGCCATTTCGAAATATTCAGAGCACCACTTTTGTCATAAAGTAATATATTTCTTCTAACATGCAGCTTAAACTCAAGTTTGAAGTTCCGGGCTAAAAACTTAAATGCTCTCATTAATATGTTTGAGAAACTTAGAGTTAATTTTAGAGTGAGTATGTTTATAATTAAACATTAATACGGCATTAAATTTGATGGCGGTGGAGTTTTCATAATTATTCATATTTTTGATTAATACATTACCACAAACAGTATACTTCTCTGACGATTTCAATAAAAATTAAATTACTTCAAATCAAAATTTTTATCAGATGTATGTATGTAAGTTTGTCAAGCGTACCCTAAAACATTTAAGAATGGAAGATAAATAAATCCAATTGATTGTACGTTTTCAATACTAATTAAGTAATCACTGTTTATTTAAATTACAGTAATTTAATTAAATTTCCATGTGAGTCTTACCAGAAATCTCTTGTTTTATTAACTGAAACTAACTAAACCGGAGATGCGTAATAAAAATAAAGTATGCAAAGAAAAGAAAGCATTGATGCAAGATACCAGCTAACACCCTACAAGTAGTATACACTCATTCTCACGCCCACACATACTCGTAGCCAACCAAGTGTAGAGGAAATGACGACAATTTAAAGAAAACATATTAAATAAAAATTGCTCCCAGCGGCAGCATTACTTTATTGACAATTCAGATGATTTTGACATGACAAGAACGACAAGCGCAGGCAGCAATACCGTAATAACAAACAAAATCAAAAGCAACAAACAACAAAAAATACCGAGCACAATGTGTACAAATAAAGCAGGCATTGAAATGACTGTAAAAATCTGTAAAATGGAAATTCGAAAATAAAAGAAAACACCCAATCTTGAACATGTTTTAGGCGCGCTACACCCACCCGGTAACCACTTACGAACACACAGACGCATGCACACAAACACGAAGCCATTTGAGAGTCTTCATGCAGCCCGCCAATCGAGCGAAATTGCTAGTAGCACACGCTTGTTGACTTGTTGTATCGATAAAATGAACAGCCATGCGCTGCCACAGCCAGCAGCAGCTATAACGGCAACAACACCAATGATAACAACAAGCCGAAGATTGACGCCGGCATAACGGTTGCTGTGATTGCTTGAAGATTTTTATTTGCTTATCGACTACTCACTTGACAAAATGAGCACCAGCGCAGCGCAGTCGAAACGTTCGAAGAGGCACAGCGCCGAGCTTTAACAGCTTAGAACGCACTGTGCAACAACAACGAAATAACAACAACACAAACACGATATAAAAAGAACTGGCAAAGACCTTTTGCGCTTCACTCTTGTTTGGAGGAAATATAAATTGACAAACATTGTAGTTTGTTGGTGTACAACATTTTCGGCAACAAACAAATTTGAATGTGCAAAGAAATGAAAAACGAAATCGTAACAACAAAAAAGGTAAAGGAGTGAAGCTGTATGCGAATAAAGTGCATGACTTAAAAGCGGCAACAAATTTCCCATTTTAGTATCTTTACATTCAATTTCCTCTACTCGAAAATGAAAATAGGAAAAAACTGCAGCAATAGCCTTAATCCTAAAGACGTTGCGTCCTTCACAACTTGCATTCATGAGTGTGTGTATGTGTGTGGCTGTGTCGAAAAAGTTTATATTTTCAATCATCTCGCCTTTATCCTTGACGCGCAATCTCTGGCAAATCTCAGTAAACGGCCTTTTGACTCGTATTTGCTCGTTTCGGCTTAGCTTGACTATTGCTTATTGCATAGTAAAGTTGACATTTGTTACTTAAGTGTCGATGTTGTTTGTGAACGTCCTTGCACCCGGTAAATACCAATTCATACCAGTTTCACACTTTTTACTATTTGTTCTGTGTGTCAGTTCAGCTCCGCACGTTTTCAATAAGTTCACAAACAGTTATAATGCCAGCAACACTTTGTACACACACAAATGTCTACACATATTGTACTCATATACTCACATCTATTGTATGACACTTGAATGCAGAGTACTTGAGAGGTAGCTGAGAACGAGTTTACTACTAAGGATTCGCAACTTGTGCTACAATAAACTACAACTACAACTAAATAATCAATCAACTGCAATAAGATGGCGAAGCCTTGCAGTTGTAAAAGCAGGAGTGCTTAGAAAATGCTAAAAGATGTGAGTGCAATAAGTGTATACCCTGTACGAAAAACCATTACAAACACAAAATGTTTCTTCCAGTTGCGCTCGTAAGCGTGCTAACTTCCTTTATTTCTGAGATGAGAAAAGTTCAAGTTTAAGGGCGGTTTTAGTGTTTCACGATAGGCACTACTCATAAATATGGAGTTTTTTAAACAAGATTATGTCTTTTAATTGATTTTCATTATTTTGCTATGCTTTACTTAAACTTTAACCTTAACTTAAACTTAAACTTAAACTTAAACCTTAACTTAAACTTAAACCTTAACTTAAACTTAAACTTAAACTTACACTTAAACTTTAGCTTTAAGAGCTAAAAAGAACAAACCCTGGAAATCGATTATATTGTATAAGGTTCCTTCAATAGAAAAAAACTTTCCACAATGTTGACTAAACTTTAATGCGGCAGGATCAAATTTTATCTTTCCTTATATGGTTTCGAAGTCGAACGAGAAAAGCATAGAAACAATCACTCCCTTTAATAAAATCGGTAAAATTAATTAGCAAATCTGGCAAAATTGCTTTCTGCGATATTTTAAGAACATGTCCGAGAATAGATATACTCATACATATGTACATATATATATATTAAAAAAATTCATCTTCTCACTTATCTTATCATTTTGGTTGTAGGCTCTGCAAATATTGGACCTTCTTTTCTTTAAAACAAACTTCTAAACCTCAAAAGCCACAGTATTGATTTCATCAAGTATCAAATTGATTCCGCAATTTAGACTCCATCCCATTTCGTTGTTCACGAGAAACCTTATCCCTTTCATCCGTCTACCTCGACGTATGAGTAACATGCGCCGCAAAATTAGTAGAACCATCAACAACAGTAACACAAATAACACATGCATACTCTTACATTATTATTTGGCTGTTTTGTGCTGATTTACTGAACGGCTGAGTGACATACTGGCTCAGGGTCTTGCACACAGCCTGCCTAACTGACTAACGGCTTGAGCTGCTACAGCCGGCGTCTTTGCTCTCGTCATGTTGTGTGAGTGACAACAACCCGCAAGTAGCTGTGCATAAGAATCACAATGCGCTTTCATTTATTCCTATTGCTGTCATTCTATTTCCATGCTACATGCTTTCCGCCTGCCATTCTTTCTTGCATTCGCTTTCTACTCTGAGTACGCTTCACTATACTGTTTCGCTTCGCTTGCGATTCCATATTCGATTTCCGGTTTGTTGATTTATCCAATCGTTGAGTCGTCAGCGTTTCACTTCAGTTGCGGTACAACAGCAACAACAACAACTGTGCCACCAAACTTAAACACATTTGTCTCAAGCTGCGCAATACTTGCTATCGGCATTGCCCTCGTATGCTCTGCATATTTTCAATGTGCCTTTATGTATGTACACGTCTGTAATAGCTTTCAATAAGCTACTTGCTTCCACACTTCATATACTTTTCAGCCCCCTTTCTCACAGTTTTTCTACTGTTGCTCCGCCGAGCAGCCCCTAAACCGAGACCTGTTTGCTTGATCTCCTTTAAGCTATGCCAAAAAGTTCAAATTGTTTGCCGTGATAAGCGTGTACGCTCGTGCGTGGCCTTGTTTTTCATGTGGCTTGCTTGGTTTGTTCGACGCTTGTGTATGTGTGCATTCGTATATATGTGTGTGTGAGTATTCTTACGCGCATATCAAGGAAACTACGACGGAAATTATTTTTAACGCAGCAATTTTCCACTTCATTTGCTTCATATTTGTAAGATCTTCGGAGGCAATTGCTTCTCTTTAATTTTATCAATGGATTTTACCATTCTTTCTTGCCAACTACGAACTCATCTGATTTCAGTGCCATTGATAATCGAAAACAATTTGAATTTTCCTTACCTTTAGTTTGTTAAAAATGCATTATGAATTTAACAAGATAACCTCTATGTATCTAAATTGCTTCTAAATAATTCATGCTAAGCAATATTTATTGAATTAATTGTTTA